GTCTTAATAAAAACTGAAATTCCCAGTTTTTGTCTTAAACCAAGAACCATCTACCCTACCCAATCTAATGATGGGAGTTAAGACAATATGGGAACTATGTCTGTTCCAAGTAGGACCCTTTTTCTCACCTTAGAGGTTGCAAATGGGGATACAGTCAAACCTGTATATAACGACCCTGTATATAGCGGTCACCCTGTGCATAACGATCACTGAACAACTTCCCAAAAATCGTCCCTTATATTTACTGTTAATTTGACCTGTATATAGCGGTCTCCTGCGTATAACGGACGCGGTCACCTTTTAGACTTCCTGAAACCACGATTTCATTATCTTTCAGCTGCATATAACGGTAACGAAATTGGTGTACGATTAACGAATAATGACAAACTTAATTCATCAGCTCGTTAAAGGCAGGGGTCTCACAAAAATACAAATATTAGTACTGAACACAACTACTAATACATGTCATCGCCTACGTGCGACAAATGCTTGCGGCAGATAACAGTAAAGTGTGGTCGCTTTCAAACAATATTTACTGTATCTGCAACAACACAACCGTACCACATTGTTTTCACTTTCATCATAGTTCCCTGATTATAACACTGCACTGTACTTATCTGTTAAAAATTGTTGTCAATAAATGTAAATTGAGTGATTTTCCCCTTAAAAACGTTGTTCATTAGCTTTCAGTAGACTTTTACTGCACCTCCCTAAAAGTACACCACGGACATTTTATGGGCCTTTTTTATCGTGTTTATTACGTTACTGTTACTCGTTATTGTCAATAGAACGTAAATTGAGTGATTATTTGCACATAAAAATGCTATTTATTGACTTCCAGGGGAGTTTAAAGGAAACCTGTGTATAGCGGTCACCCTGTATATAACGGTCACCGGGCAATTTCCCAAGGGTGACCGTTATATACAGGTTTGACTGTATTTGGTTTTTTGACAGAAAGAGACTGGAGCAGAAGTGCACGTCGGACATCTTATGGACCCTATGGGAAGGGACAGGAAATGAAAATCAGAACTGCATAGTGCCAAACTAGATGAATAAAGTAAGTTTCTTATGATGAGAAACACTGCACGGTTAGCACCTGAAAAGTTGCTTTATGTGAAGGACTGGTAATATTAGTCCAAGCTCCTTGTAAAAGAATCAAGGAATAAAAGAATTAAAAAAGAATGCCTGTGAATATGTTTCAAACATATGTAAAGAAAATCAAAATTAAAAAGACACCCTCAAGATCTTTTTAAAATGTGCACCCCGCCCTCAAGGAAAGGTTTTGTAATGTCCAAGGTCCCACTCCCTGAAACCTATCCAATGGTCAGCGGTAATTTTTTATAATCAATATGGCGGACAATTCGACTGAGAAAGGACCATGGAGGGAAACCCTGGAATCCTTCGTTAGATATGTCGCCTTAAACCCGAAAGAGTTTCTTTTATACGGTAACTAGCGATACTTTTGTTCTATGTGCTTCTGTTGTAGTGATTACCAGTTGTCTGTCAGCATTCGATCTTTTTGGTTGGTACTTCATTGGACCTACGTTATTTACAATCGAGAACAGTTTGTTTGTTTTTGTTTGTTTTCATGTGCATCGTAATGTGCTAAATATTTCGCTATGTTTACAGTGTTCATAATCCTGACTCCTTTGATGGCTGTGAGCGCGTTTTTATCTTTGAAGTTAGCAAAACACATAGAGCGAAGTGAAAAAGAGAAGAAGAAAAAAGGTGTGTTGTTAATTTGTACTTCTCTCAGTTTTTAACCCCTATACCTAATAACAGTAAACGGTCAGTGTAAAAAGCAGACTGCAGACTAGGGGTAAAATGCAGACTGAGGGTAAAATGCGGCCTGACCGCAGACTGAAGACCGTTTTTAAGTCTATATCGTGTTGCTCCCATTATCAAGTATTAACCATAAACAGCCTAACATAGGCATTATTCAGGCTAATCAGAGTGAAAGTCTGCACTCCAGTTAGCATGAATATCACTTGGTTAGCTTGAATAAAGCTCGGTTGACCGGTTTACGTTTAGCTCTTGATAGTGGCAATGGTAACAAGGACATAACAAATGGACCGAAATCAATCATCGAAAACCTAATTGATAATACTCAATATTATTCAATACTTATCAATTGATTAGTCAAATTACTCAATAAACATCAATAATCACACGATTCGGGATCGGATTATAGATTTTGATTGATTACTAGCGAGAATGAAACTATTAAAAAAGTCATTCACACCTCGAAGCGAAAAAGCCAATCTGAAATCAAACGAAAAGTAACCACTGTGTCTTACCTGATATGGAGCAGTTAAACCTGGAGATTGCACGAAACAGATGTGCAAAAAGGAAACCTGTACACTTAGGACACACGGTTTACAGAGGAAAAATTTTCCTCCAGCATAAGCAAGTCTTTGAACATCACATGGAAACTGCAGGATGGTGCACTGGAATACATAGAATAAACCAAGAAAATAATTCATTGCCAGAATACTGAAGAAAATTGTTCCTGACCAAACTGTTTTGCACCTTGAGTGAATTCAATAACCAAACTTCAAACATCGTTCTACATGTGCAGACATAGGACTTCTTGTCTCTAGCTGTGTATGGTGTTAACAGAGGTTTTGTGACTATGATGATGTTCAACCTCGTTCCCGGGGTCTTTCCTGCATTGAAATCCAAGATGGCAGATGCGAGAGGAAAGTGTCCATATACATACATGTACATATACATACATATACATATCAATATTTTTCGAAAGAAATTGATAGAAATCAAACTCTAATGACAAAAATCGATCAAAATTGACAATCACAACAGGTTTTGCTATCGATTTTTACTGATTTTCTGTAATAATCAAATCATTGGTATTGAAAATTATCGCTTTTATTCGAGTATCAAAATTATTGATTTGTTACATCCTGTGGTAACACAAATCAATTGAATAGTCTGCAGTCTACAGTCTGCATTTTACCCTCGGTGTACATTTTATCCCTCAGTTTGCAGGGTAACCGTCTTTTTGTCTTTTTGTTTTTTTGTGTTTTTTGTTGTTTTCTCTTTGTTGGCAATTTGTAAACTATACAAATCACCAATTTGTAACCACTTTATTTGTACTCTAAGCCAAGTTCACATTTAAGGTCCCACAGAAGTACCTATATAGCTGCCAGCTCTAGCAGCTGGTGTCAAAAACTTCAATGTCGGGATGGACCAATAATTATTACTCTCACTCAGTAGAAACAATTAAACTGTTGCTTTTAACTAACAAACTTTCAAAACAAATTATTAGCTTGAACCAAATACATTTAGTTAAAAGAAAAGTGTTGGTGAGTTATGATGATTCTTGTGTTTTGAAGGGAAAAAATGCTAGCCTCACAAGGTTGTGTAGCAAACCACAACTTTGGAGAATTTTGAAAATCTTCAGAATGTCTTTGGAGATTTTTTAATATCTTCAGATGAGGTTGGTGAACTTCGAAAATCCTTGGAATAAAACTACTTCACTTTTAACTCAGTCAAAACTAGGAGAGTGATTCATGTGAACAATACAATTATAATGCTTTTTGTTAGGTGACCATCATCAATACAACACTTTGTTCTTATTTCCCTGGCATGGCCACTAACCCATTGAAAGGGCCTTTCATTAACCATTCAAGTATAAATGTTGGACATCAGTTTTCTTTGAATTAAACAACTTCCTAAAGATATTGTCCCTTTTTGTTTTTCTCTTTTTTAGCTACTCGACAAACAAATATAGCTAAATCAAGACGCAGAGCAAAAGCTGACTGAATCGTCATGTTGCCAGACTCATGTCTATTGGCCTTCAGGTAGCAATACTACACATGAAGAGCTGTTCAATACACTGTATTGTACCCTGTGCAATAATTCATTGAACTTCAGTGTACATAGCAAGCAAACAGAGAGGTGGCATAAAAGCTCCTATATGTCCATATTACACAAAAAGTTTGAATGTTTTAAGGAGCTTTTCTAGATCCTGTACATATATCCCGTAGAATTAATTTTTTTCCTTACAGTTAGTACAAATTTATGCACAGTCTGAGAGCAATAATTTTATAGGATATAACACAGAGATTGTCACAAACTCTTAATTAACTTGAATCCTGTATCTGAAATTCAATAAATCAATGCTGGCATTTCTGTACAATGTATCTTCTGCATTCTCTTGCATTTTTAGAACAGGAATTGTTGTGCACAGTAAATTAATTGTGTACTACATTTTCTGTGTGAACAAACACAAGACTGATTTGAATGAGATAAAAGCTGTAGTGTTACTGTAATTTCACACTCTAGACATACTGATACAAATATCTTGTCTGAATAATTTACATTCAAAAAACTGGATCATTGAATAAATTAAATGCAATTCAAGAGTTTTCATTGGCTTAGCCATCATGGGTTATGAGCCATTATACCATGCTCTACAAATATTTTGGTGTATTTTCATTTTTATTTTATTTTTCTACATTTTGGGGACGCTTTTAATGAAACAATTACCATAAACTCTGGCAGATAAACCGTATAGTTTTACTCAAAATTTTTGTAACAAATTGGGGATACAGCTTATCTGCAATAAATACCAGAGAAAGGTCAAACATATGTTTAAGTCAGTAAACATATCATGCTCATACAATTACAAAGCTAAAATTATGGGTGAGGGTGTTAAGTATTCTCTGTTTTCAATGTTAGTTAGTTTATGCGGGTTTACATCAATGAAGCAATGATACATATGTAACACATCTTTCTCAAGACTCCACTTTTGATTTACTTTGGGAGGCAAAGAGGGTTTCTACCTGATGGAGAGGGCCCGCCTGAGAAGGTGGGCAGTAGAAAGTAGAGTTATTTGCTGGAGTTCATGTATGTTGATGTTGCCAGGGATTTTGTTGATGTAGCTTTCCATGCCCTTCTTGATAATACCGAGGGCTCCTATAACCACCAGGACTGTTGTTGTTTTGAGCCCCCACATTCTCTCTATCTTGATTTCCAAATCTTTGTATTTGTTAAACTTTTCCGTGGTTTTGACTGAGGTGTTGGCGTCGAGGGGTGCGGTCATGTCAATGAGAAGGCAAGTTTTGTCCTTCTTGTTCTTTAGCACAATGTCCGGCCTATTAGCTGTGATGGTTCTGTCAGTGTGGATGGGCATGTCCCACAAAATGGTGATATTGTTTTTCTCGGTGACAGTCGTGGGTTCATGTTCATACCATCGATCCTTCACCTCAATACCGAACTCTTTGCAGATCTTCCAGTGCATGTGTGCAGCTGCCTT